ATGCCTCTGGGAATGCAAGCCAAATGAGCACTGACCTTTTTCTGCTACCATATCTCATAGCTAACACATCTGCGTGGCTGTTCAATCACTCCCATATCTCTACTTTCCAAGTTTCTTCTGCCTGCATCCCATGAATATCTGTGTTTTGCATAATTATCTCACAAATGTATTAGGTGGGTTTGGTTTTTTTCCTCCCCAAGTTGGATCTTAATAGTATCTTCTGGCCATGCTTCTAGTTTCCTTTGTATGATTTTTTATACTGATGTTTATAGCGTCTCTTAGTTTAGGATCATCACTGTTTCTTTAATGGGTTCTTTACTCCTCCCGGACAAGGCCTCAGGTCTGCAGCTGGATCTGCATGAGTGACCTTTGCATTTGCATCCTGTGGAGTCCTATTAGTTTAAATCATACAGCAGGAATGGGGTCAAAGACTTGACCTAATACAGATCTCAGCAGTAACCCACTACAAATTCCACCCTTCCCTTCAACTTCCTACTTGGCCATTTATTATAATTTTTTGTTTATGGTCCTTCAGTTCCTTTCCTATCCACTTGAGAATTTTCATACACAAGTGAATTTAGATTAGTTCTGATTGTAAGACTGAGACATTGTACCAAATGCTTTATTAAAATCAAAAAATATTTCATTTACCACTTTTTCTCCATCCACTAATTCTCATTTTGTAATTCTATCAAAAAAAGTGATAATGGTTGACTGGCACATGTCATTAGATGTCATAAGACACATAGGTTGGTGCTATGCTACTTTACAGTGTCCTTTCAATTGCAACAAAAATAATGATACAAAGCCAATACACAAAGTAATAATACAAATGAGATTAACAATTTTGACCTTTCATTCAATGAGGAAAAGAAAAACTAGAAAAGAGAAGCAAGTAAGCATGAATTTCAAAGCAAAGTGCAAAACTTTGCTAAGTGCCTGGTGCATTTATCTCAAATATCCGAAATAACTCAAAGTAACATTGTCAACTTGAAAATCAAGACACTGTAATAGTTTTACTACCTACTATTACCATGAACGTGTAGAATTATGACAACTGAAAGAGGAAAAATGTTTCCTCTTTTTTCCACCCCCACCATTCCCAGTCCCCTTGCCCAGCCATTTCCAATTCCCCCCTCCTGACTTCTTGTCCGATCTGTCTTTCCCCTCCCCAAACCTCCAGTTAATCCCATACAGTCCCTGTTCCCACTGGGTCTCTCTCTTATTCCCCAGGTTTCTTGTCCGCCACCCTCACACTCCTTGTCCAAACCTCTGTGCCCAGAGAGTCCCAGTTCTCACTCCTATACCCTGGCTCTTCTTCAGATCTGTCTTCCCTCCCTCCACCCCATGGTTCCCAGTGTTCGTTTCTTTGCCTAGCTAATCCCAATCTCCACTCCCCAGGCTCCTTATCTGATCTCAGTCTCCTTCCTCCACCCATTGGCTTTCAGTCCCTACAACCCCATTTCTCTCCCTGGCTCCATGTCCCAGTCCCAGCTAGTCCCAATCTCTCCCTAACACCCAGTTGCCGCTTTCCTCCTCCTCCAGCCTCCAATCCCATATCCTTTTCCTGTTCCACCAGGCTCCCCCAAATACATTCAAACAGGTAGATTCCTCCTCTAGCCTGCCTGGGCCCAGCAGGGTCGGGGTCATTGAAAGAGCAAGAGAGACAGCCTTCCTGCTCTCAGTTCCACTGCCTTTACTTGGACCTAGTATGGCCCAGAGCAGCCGGGAATTGCTATTGGATGGAAAGTCCTGCTCAGCCCCAGGCATGAATGGAATCTTAAGGGAACTGAACCGATAAGCTCTACCAAGTCTCTACTAAGCATGTGCAAGCTGTGATTTTTCAAAGGCTTATAACTTGGTCAAATTTTGGTGGATTTTCACGAGGATGGCAAAAGGCACATCCCTGTCATAAATGCCACCCTCTGGCCATATTTAAAGTCTCTGCTCCAAAGTATGGAGGAGCTAAAGCTTTTCAAGAAAGAGCCACAGATATTTTTAGCCTGGGCAAAATGATGTATTTTTCCTTAACCTTGTTCTCAGTAATGTCTGAACTGTTTTGGCAGAAAATAAATAGATAAATAATAATCAGCCTCAGTCAGATACCCAGCATGTAAAATTTCAGCCCGAACAGCTAAAGTTTGGCAAAGTTATAAGCAACTGAAAACAGGGTCTTATAATGGGAAGTGTCAGGCAACCTTAATAACAAGCAGTGCTACCCACACTGCCTATAATAATAGTGCTTTGTTATGGGCAGATTCAATTTTTCCCCAGTAACACTACTCACATGTGTAAAATAGGACTGGACAGTTAGGACAATATCCTTTTGTCTGTGTGGCTGTTTCACAGAACATGAGGAAAATACACTAGAAGAAGTTTGAGGCACAGGTAGTACCTCAAATTACTTATAGCTCACTTTTTGAAATTGATTAGATTTCAAGAAGACCATGTTCCTTTACCTTTATTACTTACTGCTGTTTAGTTGATTTACAATGGGGAAGTAAAAACATTTTGACAAATGGTTGTCTAGTTACATAAAACATTGTTGTCCATACAGAAATATGCAAGTGAGGGAGTTTGGCTGTGAAAATTCCCCAGTCCTCCTCCTCCGCCTCATACACATTCCCTCAGTTTGCTAAACATGCCTTTTAAATTTCCCTTTAAAGGAACAATTTGGGACAAATCCTGCCCCCCTTCCTACAGCCATAGTGTGCTCGGGCTGCAGTGCAATGGGTAAAAGTCCTATAGGTGCAAAGAATGGGGGAGCAGGATTGCAGAAATGCAAATGGGCATCTGTACACACTGGCCAATTTGAAGCTGTACCAGATGAAAGCAGTGGGACAGGTGAGACTCATTCTGGGGCTGGAAATAGAATGAGGCAGACCTGGTGGATATGTGACTACACACATCCACTGCCCATTCTGTTTTTTGTGGGAAGGAACAAGGATTGAACCTGCAAAAGCAGCTGCGAAGTGGCTATGCAGCCTGGAAGAAAGATTTTTCCTTCCTTACCCCATGGAACTTCCCAGCGCACTGCCCAATTACGGTACTTAAAATGTGCACTGGGATTAGCATTTGCCTTTCTCTGAATACAGGCATGCAGGTAAGAATGTCTTACAGTGTAGCAAGCTGCTTTTATCTAGAAAATATCCAATACTTCACTTTTCAGTCTTGCCCTCTTCTCTTATAATCTGTATACATCAAATTATTAGCACACTGAACTGATGTATGTGACTGGAAAATGAAACATAGCGTAGAACTAAAGGTGACATTTTGATTCTGTGCTGATAAATTACGTGAAATACTTATTAGGCCACATTCTCCGTGTCTCTCGTTCCACAGCTCAGAATCATCTGTCTGGTAAAATAGGTCAGTGCTTCATAACAACACTCCTTCAGGGCTGACTGTGTCTGGATAAGCACACTGTGTCTTACACATGACCACAGCAGCAAACTATATGGAAAATTGATGCTAATATGGAAACAAATGACTGGTAACATTTTTATTAGGCGTGAAGAGCTGTAATAACAGACGTGAGGCAAGCTGTAGGAGAAGGCACTGCAAGATGAGTCAGAAATGGCTGCATGTAGATTTTCCATGTCAAAGGTTCAGGTAACTTGAACACAATCATTGTTAGATAAGTTCTTTATACTGTACAGTACTGGTCTCTGACTAAGGGCATTGTCCTTCCCTTAATTGCCTCTGCAGATGTGGATCCCAGAGAATCCCTGCATCTCTTCTTGTCTACAAATGGGTTCTACTCCCTTCTTTGGTGGAGTGCATCCTTCTTGGAAGAAGCTGTGCGAAGACAACTGTAGTTTTAAATCACTGCTCAAACCCTGCACATTCTGGGGAGACTGTCAATTCACAACTTGTCCCCAGCCCTACAGCCATATATAGCAATTGGGACCATCAGAATGATGTTATGGGATGCACCTGAGCATGATCAAGGCCACAACATTGCTCCATCAGGGACAGGTTCTTCCCTGTCTGTGGGTAAGCCTGCAGTAGAAATGCTACAGCGCCACAGCGGAAGATGTTCTTCTGTTGCTGTGGTAAATCCACCTCGCCGAGAGGCACTTGCTAGGTCGACAGAAGAATTCTTCCATTGACCTATCAGGGTCTACACCAGGGCTTAGGTCAGCTTCATAACGTCGCACAGGGCATGACATTTTTCACAGCCCTGAGCAATGTAGTTAAGCTGACCTAACTGTGTAACGTAGAGCAGGCCTGACATTCAGTTGGGGGAATATTCTTAAAAGGGCCTGTGGTCTAATGCAGCTCTCCCTGGAGCAAAGTCCAAAAGAGAGCTCAGTGAGGGAGACAAGGAGGGGGCCACTGGGCTGAACATGGTAGTTGGTGGGAAAAAAGCATCCTTCGCACCTCTTGTTTTGGATTCCCCATTGTCCAAATTAAACCATACCTTAAAACCTTCTCAAGTGATAGCAATAGGAAAGGGAGGCCTCTTTGTGAGATGCATGAGCAATGTATCTAGAGAGGAACTATCCATCCACCTGCACAGTTTAGTCACCATTTCAATTTGGATTTGCTAAAAGAGCTAGCAAAGAGAAACCATTTCCCTTCTCAGATATTGGGAACTAGATTGACATTAGCATCTGTACTGTGCTAAATACAGTATCTTGATTGTTATCACCTATAGTAAGCTCTCTAGGCAGGGAACTGTCTTTATATGTGTTTTACAGTAGCTGGTACAACTGGGACCTGATCCTGAGTGGGGACTCTGACGGAGAACATAATGTGCATAATAACAATACTGATATAACAATAATAAATCAGGACTAACAGCCAAGCACACACCATCCTTTGGAAAGAACAAAAGCCATAAGTCTATAAAGAAAACATTTCAAAAGTAAATGTTTGCATCAAACTGTAATAACTTCAATTCAGAAGCTGTTCAGGAAAGGAAAAATAGACCAGTGGAAATCTGCTTCTGCCAAAATATATTGACACAGGAGTTCCTCAGGATGTTATTACTCTACCTTCTGCTTTTGTGTAGATTGCAATGTTCCCATTAACCAGACCAGCAAACAAGTACTGCGACAGAGACGTTAGGCTCATGACCGTTGATTTTTCTGGGGTGAAGAAGTGCTGAAGTCGGACTTTCTTGGAGCCTTGATGACTCTTGTAAATAGAAATGCTACCAAAAAAAAAATACATGAGAAAAATGTAAATATGTCTTGTTCAGTTCTTACTATAAAGGTCACAACAGGCTTTAAGATAATAAAAGTATTGGAGAAAAAAAAAGGTACTTTATTACGCTAAAAAATGTAGTTCATCTAGTCATTTTCATTATTATTTTATGCCCAAACAATAAATTCCTTGCATTAGGGAGACTTCACCTCAGCTGGAGAGACCTTCCTTCTAACAAGATACTGTCCTCTTACAGACCCAGAGTTGTACCTCTCCAGGGCCTGATTCAAAGCCCAGTGAAGTCTTTTCATTGACTTCAATGAGCTTTGGATCCAGCCCTACCTGACAGAAGAAAGAAGAAAATAGTTCAGTACCAGAAATCAATTTATTTTTAAATTCTTTGTCATGGTACCTATATACTATCATGATGTGTATGCCAGAAATGATAGGTAAATAGGTAGGTCTGGCATGAACAGCAGTTTACACATGCAGAGAACTAGTCTAATTATGCTTTATTGCTTTAAATTTAGAAAATATACAGCATTATTTTTATAGAAAGAGTAGTCACTTATTTACACTGGCAGGAAGAGCACACAAATTCTCATACTTATGTTCTCAATAGTTACATCCACCATCCTTTGCTTACCATACCAACAACTTCACATAAACCTATTTCTGTTTGCCACTACTGTACAGAGATGACCTAATGAAGACTCAGTTCATACATGATAAACAACATCAACATGTTTTATCTTATTAGCATGAAAAATTTCTAGCAAATCCTGCAAATGCAGCATTATAAAAGGTAAATAATTACTTGCTTTTCGTGTTGCTAACAGCACTTCATCATTTTCAACCCCCCCCCGATTATTAAAATGATGGAATGATGTAATATCCTTAAAAATCTGTACTTATATCCTACAGAGATTACATTATTTAAAGGAACTAATCCTTTTTCTTCAGAGGTATTTGTTAGTCTCTATGGTTTTTATCCCATGTATGATAAGTTTAAAAATTTTGTGTGTGGAGGTTAATTTTTATTACATGTATGTTGTTACTGGGTTATGTGATAGGATCTTGGGACAACTGATGGGTCTGTTTACTCATAGGTGTCATTTTAATATGATTTTCTAAGGTGCACGTAGCATTGGATGGATAATCTTTTATTGCAGAGTAATAAACAAACAAATAAGTAAATTATATGCAATATGTTGAAATTGACTATCACCTTCCTTCCTCCATGCCCAAGCAGACAGTAGGCACTTTTAAGGTTTTCATAGCCATATTTTCAGACTCTGGAGCCACTTTTAACTCTTTCTGTTTCTCTTCCTCTGGAATGTAGACCATGCAGAGAATGCGTGATTCCACATTGAAGCACTCGATAACCTTGGGACTGGAGTTTTGAAATGAAACAATTGCAATTTGGCCCATTTGATTAGTGCAACTGCCAATCTGAATTAGAGAGTGACAAGAAAGGAAAAGATTAACATCCTTCCATGGCAAGATCACAGTTAACCATGATAAACACATGGCAAACTAATTAAAGACAGCTTCTCAGCTTCTAAGCACTTAAAGGAGCTTTCATGTGTTAAGTTAGCACACAAAAAAGTTACAAGAAAATCATTAAACACCAACCATAATATAGTTTAAAATATAGCAAAAGAACATGAAATTGGTTTTCCCAGCACACTTGTATACACAGTTCTGACCTTTCTGTTTCTAAAGGAAGGTTATTGTGTACCCTTTTGAGACTTGTGTGTATACATAATGCAATGTAATACAAATATAACACATAACATTAGTGTGATATAATGCTTCTGTAACTAATAAGTTTTAGAAAGCTTCACTATAAACCCTAGAGCTGGAAGTTTAAGGCTCATTATTTTCTGTAATTTGAGGGCCTGAAACAAGTACTGTACCCCAATGGAGAGGATTACCAGCTCCCCATGGTATTAACCATCCATTTCTATCCCTGTCGGTTCAGGAGGTATTGGACCCTAAATATCTCACTGCACAAAGACCAAACATTGCCAGCCCTGCACTTCATACCAGTGTGCATTAGGGAGGTGGGAAGGCTGGGAGAACTTCCACTTTAGGGAAAAGAAAGAAATGTGTACATAGGAATACTTTAAATATTTATAAGAGAAGAAGAGAACACTCCGGTGTGGTATAAAGATTTTATTGGCATAAGTTTGTGATGACTGTATTCATAATTAGCAAAGCCACGAGTGAGTTACACAGATCATCTCAAATCAGACCTTTGAAAATAGTATTTCCACCTTTTGCTTCTACTACTGGAAGTTGCCAAAATATCAGCCTCTAAAAAAGTGACATGACCAGATAACTGGCTCTGTGGATGAGGGGAAAGCAGTGGATGTGTTATTCCTTGACTTTAGCAAAGCTTTTGATACGGTCTCCCACAGTATTCTTTCCAGCAAGTTAAAGAAGTATGGGCTGGATGAATGGACTATAAGGTGGATAGAAAGCTGGCTAGATTGTCGGGCTCAACAGGTAGTGATCAATGGCTCCATCTCTAGTTGGCAGCCGGTATCAAGCGGAGTGCCCCAAGGGTCGGTTCTGGGGCCAGTTTTGTTCAATATCTTCATTAATGATCTGGAGGATGGCATGGACTGCACCCTCAGCAAGTTTGCAGATGACACTAAACTCGGAGGAGTGGTAGATATGCTGCAAGGTAGGGATAGGATACAGAGGGACCTAGACAAATTAGAGGATTGGGCCAAAAGAAATCTGATGAGGTTCAACAAGGACAAGTACAGAGTCCTGCACTTAGGACGGAAGAATCCCATGCATTGCTACAGACTAGGGACCGAATGGCTAGGCAGCAGTTCTGCAGAAAAGGACCTACGGGTTACAGTGGACGAGAAGTCAACAGTGTGCCCTTGTTGACAAGAAGGCTAACGGCATTTTGGGCTGTATAAGTAGGGGCATTGCCAGCAGATCGAGGGATGTGATCATTCCCCTCTATTCAACATTGGTGAGGCCTCATCTGGATTAATGTGTCCAGTTTTGGGCCCCACACTACAAGAAGGATGTGGAAAAATTGGAGGGAGTCCAGAGGAGGGCAACAAAAATGATTAGGGGTCTGGAGCACATGACTTATGAGGAGAGGCTGAGGGAACTGGGATTGTTAGTCTGCAGAAGAGAAGAATGAGGGGGGATTTGATAGCTGCTTTCGACTACCTGAAAGGGGGTTCCAAAGAGGATGGATCTAGACTGTTCTCAGTGGTACCAGATGACAGGATAAGGAGTAATGGTCTCAAGTTGCAGTGGGGGAGGTTTAGGTTGGATATTAGGAAAAACTTTTTCACTAGGAGGGTGGTGAAGCACTGGAATGGGTTACCTAGGGAGGTGGTGGAATCTCCTTCCTTAGAGGTTTTTAAGGTCAGGCTTGACAAAGCCCTAGCTGGGATGATTTAGTTGGGGTTTGTTCTGCTTTGAGCAGGGGGTTGGACTAGATGACCTCCTGAGGTCCCTTCCAAACCTGATATTCTATGATTCTATGATTATGTATGGAAAAACTGTTAAAATTGGTAGAGGTTTTAAAAAATCCATTAGTTATACTTTTTGGCTTGTAGGAATGTCTTTATAATTGGCTTCATAATATTATGCCAGCATAGTTTTACATTTAGAGGATATAAAAAATAGTCCCAATGGAATGTTTAAAAACTCTTTAAAACCTTTCTAAATTATTGAATGGATGATGGTATGTTGTGGTCTCATATGTGGTTTTATTGCAACTCATTTGAGATCAGCTGCATGGCTCACTTGTGGCTATGCTGAGTTCTTGGGAATTTCTAACAAACCATGCCACCAAATAATTTCTACGTGTGGATGCTCTCTCTCTCTCTTTCACACACTCTCTCTCTCACACACACACACACACACACACACACAGACACAAGATTATGGGGACAAAACTACTGGATTTCATTTGTAGTATTTAGCTATTCAGAATGTGCATGCACATCAAATCCATGTATTGTGGATTCTTACAGAAAAATAAGTAAGAAAGATTGAAAAAAACAAAAAACAAACCACCCCTCACTTGATGTTTGAAGACTTAACTTACCCACAGAAAACCATGCTCCGTGGAACAGGAATCTGACTCAGTTTCGCTACAGAGGTAAGGGTCAGGATTATAAGTAGCACATTCAATCTTGAAAGAAAGAATGAAAAATGATTCATATTTACAATGAAGCAGATACATCTGTCCTTTCTTAAGGCCCCATGTCAACTAAGCATTTTAAGCATACATTTAAATTCATCCTAATTCAGCAAAGCACTTAAGCACCACACTAAATGCTTTGCAGAATTGGGACCCTTATGAGGAGTAATGGATTTACATCCTCAGTTTAACAGCACTGGAACTGCTCTTTAAAGTTTAGATATACATTTTAAAATGTGTTTAATTAATACAAACTAACATTTACACACATCACATCATATTCAATTAAGGAAAAATGTATTTTCTGAAGGCATTAAATAAGGAATTATACTTTTAGGTAGATAGTCTCCATCTGAAATGTTCACTAATGCTCTTCTCTCTAATAAAGAAAAAGTTGTGGAGTTTGCTATTGCTGTTGCAATGTTCCAGGAAAAAACTCAAGATAAAATTGGAGAATTTAAAAACTAAGAAATAAGGCTATTTTAAAATTTATTCATATACAGCACTATCTACTCAGTAAGGAAAAGACTTTAAAAATGGGTGCACAAATTAGCCTCCTAAAAATCCTACCTTAAGTACATACGTAAAAAAAGTTGATTTTAAAAACTGCAGAGCACCCAGCAACCCCCCCTGAAGTCAATAGTTATTGCTGAGTGCTCAGCACTTTTGAAAATAAGGTCACCTATTCTAGGTGTCCACGTCAGGATTTATGCATAGTTTTCTCAAAGGCAAGCTTTATTATCTGCTTTCTCCATCAAACCAACATCTGTTTGCATGGCGGCCCATTAAAAGAGTAGAAGGCGGCCACTGAGAGATCAAAGAAATCAAGAGCTCTCCAAGTCCAGTTCAGCGCATTGCTCGCTGACACTTGCTGAAATTGCAAACCCCAGTAAAGTGTATTCTAGTTGCTGTGATGGCCACATCCATTGTTGGTGAATGAGACAGAATTTGAGGTTTAGACATTTCTTGGGCTGCTTTGTGTCTTTATTCATGACTTGGTCAAACCTGACGAATAATTCCATAATTAAAATAGTGGCCCTTTAGCCCCCAATTTGGCAAGATTGTAAGATCAGGGCCAGAGAGAGCCCTTCCCACTGCAGAGAGACAAGTTAGTAGCAAGGTGGCTCTACCAAGAAGTGGCCAGGCCTCCCCATGCTATTCTCAGGAGTGACAGCAGGGCCCCCTCCTCTTTGGAACAGTAGGGCTGGTGGTAGGAGGGCTCCCTCCTTGGGAGTTCTACACTCTCCTCCTGTCAATGGTGGCATGGGTAGTGCCCCCTAGAGTAGTGAGTCTTAGAGTTAACTCCCCCTTTGAGATGCATAGAGAAATTGACACGTCTCAGACCTATTGTTTCAGGCTCTCTGCAGACTCAGGCAGATGTCACTGCAAGTGTTACACTAAGTTACACTTCCAAGCTTTTCTTTGCAACTACGAGGGCTAGAGACTTTCCTATTTATTTTAAGTAGGTTGAGATTCTATTGTAATCACATGATCCCAGCAGCTAGGTCTCAATTTACATTTTAAAATTAAATTTGATTAACATTCAGTAGGCTCCGAGTCAAAAATTATTCAATATAGCTAGAGTACACTGTTTTATGGGACCCAAACCTATATGGTTTTATGGGAGACTGGAGGTTTTACCGTGGATTTTGGTTACTATAAATTGTGGTTCTGCTCTGAAAAGGGACACTGTAAATATGACATCATGGGGTGGTTCATGTTTAATATCTCAATTATTTATAAATCAAATGTGCTCAGTTTATTTTTGTCACTAAAGTCAGCAACAGATATGAGTTTGAACAGACTTCAGGAAAGATCCATTAAGCACAAGTACCATTTTTAGATCACTTTTTAAAGTAAAACTGCATTTTCACATAAGAACCACGTACCCTGGGATACATTAGCACAAGCTTGTAGAAGCAAGCCTGAATCAAACCAAACAAATGTATTCCTAAGATGTGATTGTATGTTATACCATGAGCTCACACGTATTACTTAAGATACCAACACTATTCACCTTAAATTCCTGTTGTTTGGCCACCGTTACTGGCATGTGTCTAACAAGGAGAGGATGCTTCTCTTTTTTGATCTGATTCCCATCGTCTTCTACACAGAACCACCCCAGGAGGTTCTCCTCTGCTGTAATGGCAAAAAGTAAAAATACTCCACAGTGCTTTCACTTAATAGTTGCTAAAAATACAGATAAAACAAACTATTCTACCAATCTTTTAATCCCAAACAGCCCCAGTTTATGAAAGAATAATATTTGTTATTACATCTGTATTTTGGGGGGGTATGTAAAATAACACACTAATATTTAAATCTGGAATGAGCTATCTACCACTCTTTCATTTCATTCCATTCAAATGCAAAATGATCTGGACAAGCTGGAGAAATGGTCTGAAGTAAATAGGGTGAAATTGAATAAAGACAAATGGAAAGTACTCCATTTAGGAAGGAACAATCAGTTGCACACATACAAAATTGGAAATGACTGTCTAGGAAGGAGTACTTCAGAAAGGGATCATCTGGGGGTCATAGTGGACCACAAGCTAAATATGAGTCAACAGTGTAACACTGTTACAAAAAAAGCAAACATCTTTCTGGGATGTATTAGCAGGAGTGTTGTAACCAAGATATGAGAAGTAATTCTTCCGCTCTACTCCGCACTGATTAGGCCTCAACTGGATTACTGTGTCCAGTTCTGGGTGCCACATTTCAGGAAAGATGTGGACAAACTGGAGAAAGTCCAGAGAAGAGCAACAAAAATGATTAAAGGTCTAGAAACATGACCTATGAGGGCAGATTGAAAAAAATTGGGTTTGTTTAGTCTGGAAAAGAGAAGAAAAGAGAGGGGACATGCTAACAGTTTTCAAGTACATAAAAGGTTGTTACAAGGAGGAGGGGGAAGAACTGTTCTTCTTAACCTCTGAAGAAAGGACAAGAAGCAATGGGCTTAAATTGAAGCAAAGGAGGTTTTGGTTGGACATTAGGAAAAACTTCCTGTCAGGGTGGTTAAGCACTGGAATAAATTGCCTAGAGAGGTTGTGGAATCTCCATCATTGGCAATTTTTAAGAGCAGGTTAGATAAACACCTGTCAGGAATGGTCTAGATCAGTGGTCTCCAACCTTTTTACACCCAAGATCACTTTTTTGAATCTAAGGGCAACCCAGGATCTACCCCACCCCTTCCCCAAGGCCCCGCCCCACTCACTCCATCCCTCTCTCTCTCCGTTGCTCGCTCTCCCCCACCCTCACTCACTTTCACTGGGCTGGGGCAGGGGGTTGGGGTTCGGGATGGGGTGCAGGCTCTGGGCTTGTGCCGAGGGGGTCGCAGTGTGGGAGGGGGGAGGGGGCTCTGGGCTAAACCTGCGGCAGGGGGTGAGGGGTTCAGGAGGGGGTGAGGGGTGCAAGCTTTAGGAGGGAGTTTGGATGCAGGACGGGGCTCCGGGTTGGGGCAGAGTGTTGGGGTGCAGGAGAGGGTACAGGGTGCTGGCTCTGGGAGGGGGCTCAAGGCTGGGGGTTGGGGTGTGGCCTCCCGTTGGCCAGCACTTCCCTCCAGTGGCTCCCGGTCGGCGGCAGGCGCAGCAAGGCTAAGGAAGGTTCCCTGCCAACCCCAGCCCCACACTGCTCCAGGAAGGGGCCAACGTGCCCCTGCGGCCTGTGTGGGGGAGGGGGGCACGTGGCTCCACGCACTGCCCCTCTCTGCAAGCACCTCCCCCGCAGCTCACCCAGCCAATGGAGCTGCGGGGGTGGTGCTTGCAGGCAGGAGCAGCGCACAGTGGGAGACCCCTGCCCCTCCGCCCCCGGGGCTGCGCTGGCCGCTTCCGGGAGCAGTGTGGGGCTGGGGTAGGCAGGGAGTCTGCTTTAGGCTAGGTCTACACTACAGCGGGGTTCTGACCTAAGATACGCAACTTCAGCTACGTGAATACCGTAGCTGAAGTTGCGTATTTTAGGTCGGCTTACCTGGCGGTGAGGACGGGGGAAAGTCGACCGCTGCCGCGCTGCCGCCGACTCCGCTGCCGCCTCTTGCCGAGGTGGATTTCCGGAGTCGACGGCAGAGCGATCAGGGATCGATTTTACCGCGTCCTCACGAGACGCGGTAAGTCGATCCCTGATAGACCGATTGCTACCCGCCGGATCGGCGGGTAGTGAAGACATACCCTTAGTGTCAGCCCTGCTGCGCCACTGGAGATCGCGATCGACTGGGAGATTTTTTAGGATTGACCAGTCGATCGCAATCGACTGGTTGGTGACCACTGGTCTAGACAATACTTAGTCCTGCCATGAGTGCAGGGGACTGGACTAGATGACCTGTCAAGGTCCCTTCCAGTCCTATGATTCTATGATTATTTTAGCCTTAGGCTTGGAAGGGTTAGATGTTTATTGGTAAATGTCAGTAAACATCAATTTCACCATACACATGCAAATCGACCACAAATATTTCATGGAAAATAATCAAAATTACAGATTGGCAAAGTAAGAAAAATGTTGCTGGAGAACTTATTCGAGTTCAGTTTAAGTCTTTTAACTTTGTATATTTTGCATGTGATGTTGACAAATTTTTCAATGGTTATAAAGCTTTAACTTTCTGAATCTCAATGTCTACTGTCATTAAACTATTATCTGACACTCCCGATTGTCTGACCCCATAATTTCCCACAACTCTGAACATTTAAATCAATAATAATAGAAGAAAATGCTTAAAACCTATAAATTTACACAACTGTGAAAATTTAAATTGATAAAAAATGCTTAAAAATAAACATTGATATTCTCCATCGAAATGATAAAAAAATAAAAATCTAATTCTGCCAAGCCTACCTATGCTTGAGATAGCTCTGGTGAGTTACAATCAGTGATCCAAACATTTTCAAATAATTAGTCATTTTAGATAGCTCAATTTCTGAGTGCCTACTTTGAGAAAATTCAAAAGTTCCTTACATTCAGGAACTGCTGTGCGCCTGTTCTCTGCAAATCAGGCTGTCCAAAGGCGCCTCAAAAGTCAGGCATCCAAAATCACTAGTCATTTTTGAAAATGTAGGCCAGTGCATGGAAAACAGTTACAACAATGTAGTAGAGTGCATGCTAGCATATCCTTTTAAATTATTTATAAAAGGACACTTGGGAATCTAATTATTTCAGGAATGTCAAAAAACATTTGCCTTCATTGAGGATTAGATACGTCGCAAGTTTGATGTCTAAAAACAAATCTAATTTTGAGTTGTTCACGTGCACAGGTACCTGTTATTTTAAAAGAACATCTATCTATCTATCTATATATATAAAATCCTGCCTCAGCATGGGGAGGATGGATTACATGACATCCTGAGGTCCCTTCCAGCCCTACATTTCTATGAGTTTATTTGCAAGGTTTTCTTCATGCTTAGAAAACTAAAAAAACTGTTCCGCCAATTTTGTTGTAACTTCCCAAATACAATTTATTTCTTGGGATAAAACTAATAATGAGAAATTCCACCCCGAAAGGAATATTTTGAAAATGTTTTGAGAACTGGTCTGAAAACATAGTTTTAGATTGGAATGACTCTTCCAATCTCTCTGCACATGGTTGTGTTGTCATTCACTGTGACACAGACTAGTTAGCATCTCAAACTGGTAAAAATTATCTTAAACTTTGTTAGCATGCTGTGCTAATTACAGTTATAAGTTATGAACTTCCCCTCTCTTTTTAAAAGCATCTTTAACCTTTAGTGATATACACTTATTACTATATACTGTAACTTGATTTCCAACATCTACAGGAAGTCTTTCCATAAATAAATTAATCTTCGAACACACATTATATTGTAACCTAAAAACTATCTAGAGAAAGAGTTAACATTCTCTCAACTTGATACAGTGTTTCAGTTAGCTTAAGGCAACTAAGTCTTACCAAGAGCAAGCTTTGCCATTTGTAAATTGGTGATCCAAGACTGTTTGATAGCAGGAGTAAATGTATTGAACACTGCAGTAAAGAAAGTTGGTCGCCCAGACCTGTGAAACATGAAAGAAATAATAATCACTTTTCAATAAACTCTCTAAAAATGAAATGAAACTTCTTGTTCTAACAAGTACAGGACACAGGGCTAGGAATGCCCAGGGCTAGGAATGCTGAGGAACATGATGAGCTCTTATTCCTTTCTCATGCATACACACACTTAGAAAGTTTTAGATTTACAATTTCTACTGACTTGTCCTGCTTCCCTGGAAGCTGCAGCTGAATTCTGCAGCGATCCGCAGCTCTGATTTCATCTTCTTTTTTCAATATAAGTTTTTGTAAACCTGATGTCCAGTCATGGGCCACTGACTGGTTCAAGTTCTGCAAGATTAAAAGAAAAGGTGTCCACGTACAATACTAACACATTCTCCTTTAAGCTAACTCTGCCACTAGACATGGGTGAAATATTCACAATGAACAATTAATGGACACATTAATCTTTTTTCTGTGCACACATTGCACATGAAATAATTTACACAGATTTGTTAATGCCATTCAAAATTATTTGACAAATGTTTATGTCAACATGTTTCATCTGATGATGGACTTTCAAACAGTTTATTGCAAGTACAGCTGGGTGAATATAGCAGAACATATTCACAAACATCTAATGGAATAAAAAGTATAAATTTGCTTCAGCCATATTCAGGACCCTTTAATTACCTTTCACTGAACATTTATACGAGCCAATTTTTGTTTTGTAAACTTTTTGTAGAAAAAGAAAGAGTTCAAATCCTTGTGTAAATATCACATTTGCTCAAATATTCAAAACAGACGAACTTGTTTAACCATCCTGAAAGTTTTCTGTGGGGTTGGGAGTTATCTAGTCAGGTAGCAGAGACAATCCCATGTAATTCAGGTGATCCATCACCTTGCAGGAGTACATCTGATACACTCAAAGCAATAATGATGGTGAACAGTCCATACGCTGAAGTAGGTTAATTTTAAATAGCTAAGAAATTTATATAAAGTTTCTATCACAAAGAGAGAGAGGCCTTATTCTTCAAATAAATATGAACAGTTCACCCATTACCACCTGCAAGTATTCAATATTCAAAATTGGTGCTTCTTTGACTGGCTATGTAAGTGGCATGGTATTGTATGCTCCTGGCTAGTTTCCAGTCTGAATATTCACAATAATGCACCTGAAATTCACTTTCTGTAAATATTTTGCAATATTCACTTAAAAATCATTGTTTCAGTGAAAAGAACAGGAGTACTTGTGGCACCTTAGAGACTAACAAATTTATTAGAGCATAAGCTTTCGTGGGCT